CTTAAGCAATTCTCTTGACTCAGCCTCCCAAGTAGCTGGGACTACACGTCCCTGCCACAACGCCCGGCTATTTTTTTGTTGCAGTTGTCGTTGTTTAGCTGGCCCTAGGCCGGGTTCAAACCTGCCAGCCTTGGTATATGTGGCTGGCGCTGTAACCACTGTGGTATGGGTGCTAAGCCCCATCACTTGTTCTTGTCCATCTTTTTGATTATAGCCATCTTGGTAGCTATGAAATGGTACATATCTTGCTGTAGTTTGGATTTGCATTTTCCTAATGACTAATGCTGTTGAGCATCTTTTCATGTGTTTATAAACCGTTGGTTAGATTTTGATTATAGGAATAAAAGAAATTATCTTAATTAACTTCTAAGATTCAAATAAATATTTTCTTTAGATTTTATTACTACTTAACCTGAATCATATCCAAGTTTATCTTTCCTATATAATAGTAAAGATCTAATTGTTAATTTTGAGAATCCTACTTAGTCTAAATCTCAAGTAGTCTTTCCCCCATGCTTATTTCTATTCTTTTAATATTCGGAATTGTGTGTTTGTTTCCTTTAAATGACTAATCAATATAAGGACAGTGCTGCTTTTTGTTCATCTGTCTAGTATTTATTAAGGGTCTCTTACATATGAGACGACTTGCGAAATGCTGAGGGTCTATAATTTATAATAGTGAGTGGTGAATCTTGCAATCTGGTGGGGAATTTATAATAAAAATATATACATGTGAATTATAATTACAGACTGTTGCAAGTGACACAGAGAAATGGAGAATTATGATATGCTAGAAACTAATGAAAGGAGGACCTCCTTTAGATAGGGTAGTCAGAGAAAACTCTTGGTTTCGGCACTCTGAAAGCCTCAAAAGAATACTGATATTCAGTGACAGTGGAGAGAAAGGCTCACAAGATGAGGCTGGAGAGAAAGCTGTTTCCCTCAGAGTAGCTCCAACTGAAAAGTTCCTTTTGCACTTGGAAGAAAATTCAGACTCCTTACCAGACTCCTTACTATGACCTACAAAATTTGCCTCTTTCCCACCTTTCTGGCCTTCTTTCCTCTTCCTGATTACACTAGCTATTTTGCCATTCCTCAGATACATCCAGCTCTTTGCTGCCTTGCTGACTTTACATCTTGTGTCCTCTGTCCTTTACTTCTTTGTATCAGTTACTGCTGCTTGCTTACCTTTAATTTCTCTATTCAAATGTCTGTGTTTCAGAGAGACCGTCTCTATTTCCTTTTCTAAAGTAACACCACCATCCTTAGTCACTGTCTATTATTTGACCTAGTTTCTTTCTTAGTACTTTTATCTCAAGTTAGTTTATCTATGTGCTGTGTATTGTCTGTCTTTCCCACTAGGGAGGATGCTCTACTTTGTAATTCTAGTTGCGTGCTATAATTCTTATGCTTAGAATGGTCTATGGCACTGTTGAGTGATTAAATTAATTGATTTATTTTTGCAGAATCTTGTAGAACATAGCAAGACATTAGATTTTAAGTATGAATAGGAGCTCTGAAAAATTTTAGATGACTGTTACAGCTATTAAGTTGATTATAGTGGTTTGTGCTTTGTAGGCTTCTTTTTATAATCATTTAAATTCTTCCATAGACCTGTCAGGTATGCTTACATGGTCATCTTCAATTTACATAGAATGTGAAGTCATCAGAAGCAGAAGTAAAGTCACTTCAAAAAAAAAAGTTAAAAAAAATCAAAAAAAGTATAGTGACTTCTTCCAAAGTACTATAAATTACTGATTTTTTAATATTGTTTTTAAAATCAAATTTTTTAGCCTAATTTTCTCAAATTTTTTTTCTGCCCATTGTCATTTTCTTCTCCTTTTGGGACTCACTTATATGTACATTTGACCATTTGGTATTGTTCCACAGGTCCCTGGTGCACTTTTGGTTTTCCTTCAGCTTTTTCCCCCTTTTATTTTTGGAGATTGAAGGGTTTATGTTGATATCTTCGAATTCATGGACTGTTACACCATCTCCATTCTGCTTTTTTTTTTTTTTTTGAGACAGAGCCTTAAGCTATCCCCCTTGGCAGAGTGCCGTGGCACCACAGCTCACAACAACCTCCAACTCCTGGGCTCAAGCAAGCCTCCTGCCTCAGCCTCCCAAGTAGCTGGGACCACAGGCACCTGCCACAATGCCTGGCTATTTTTTTTTGGTTGCAGCTGTCATTGTTGTTTGGCGGCTGGGGCTGGATTCGAACCCACCACCTTAGGTGTATGTGGCTGGCGCCTTAGCCACTTGAGCCACAGGCGCCAAGCCTCCATTCTGCTTTTAAGCCCGTCCGTTTCTTTTTTCTCAGTCTTCGTAACTTTCACCTCTAGAATTTTCATTTTCTTCTATTTTAATCGTTTTGTTTTTGTGCTGAAATTTCCTATGCCTTTCTCTATACCATAAACACATATATATTAAAAGTAAAGTCTTTGAACATATTATCTTAAAACTTTAACGCATCTTTGTAATAGCTGCTTAACTTAATAGGTTAAATCTAATTTTGGGGCCATCTTGGGGACAGTTTCTATCGAGTGCTTTTTAACTGCCGTGCTGGACATTTGTGGATCATGTTATAAAGATTCCTCTGAGAAATATTTTGTTTTTAATAGGCAGGTTATTTACATGTATGTCACCTTGAACTTTTCTAGGTTTAATTTTATGCTTTGTTAGGAGAAATCTATGGAGAGCTTGAGGTGTTTTCTAAGCCCATCTAACTTGACAGGACTCAACTCCCAACCTCTGCTTCCCTTTCTGATCTTGTCAGGGTTTGTTTTAAGGTTAGAGAGCAGATCTAAAAAAGGCCTTATTCTTAGATGCGTTTTCTTACCCTTAGAGCTCTGCCTTTGGGTATCTCAGCTGGATGCCCAGGGTGTTAACAAGGTATTATGTGTTCTCATCACTCTGACTCAGCCAGAACTCTTAGGGGTTCCATTGCCCCTCAGTAGTGTTTGACTCTAATTATTTCTATTCCATTCTTAACTCTCGAGCAGTTGTTCTCTGGTAAGTTTAGTCTTGCCCTGTATATATGCAACCCAGATTTCAACCAAGGACTCTTGGGGATTTATACACTAGATCTTTTCCTCTACACAATTCTCTGTTCTCTATAACTTTAGCCCACAGATAATAACCATTTAAATTTTATCACTGCCTCCTCAGTTTAGTGAACTGCTGCTCTCTGCTTGGACTTGGCCCATTTCCTTTTATTGGAGTACTCTTCGCCCGTTCTTACCCTTGCTCTGCTTAGAGATTATATGTATATTTCTGTGTATAAGCATAGTTTGAACAGAAGTTTAGTAGTTAATTATATGAATAAGTCAGGCTGGGCCCACTGGCTCACGCCTGTAATCTCAGCACTGGGAGGCTGAGGTGGGTGGATTGCTTGAGCTCAAGAGTTTGAGACCAGCCTAAGCAAGAGTGAGACACCTGTCTCTTAAAAAAACAAGCCAGGCTTTGTGGTTGGAGCCTGTAGTCCCACTTACTTGGGAGGCTGAGCCAAGACAATCACTTGAGCCCAAGAGTTTGAGGTTGCTGTGAGCTATGATGCCAGGGCAACGAAGTGAGACTCTGTCTCAAAAAAAAAAAAAAAAAAATGAACAAGTCTGTGTATTTTTTATATCAACTTAACATGTTCTCTAGGTATATTGTGCCTATTCTTGTCTTTGCTAGGTAGGATTTATAAACTTACACATACAAAGTATTAGATGAAACATATCATCCTAATATTAAATTTCATTTCATTTATTGATTGATTGAAATAGCCTTGTTCTCGTGCCCAGGCTGGAGTGGTATGTGTCTTCATAGCTTACACAACCTCAAACTCCTGGGCGCAGGTGTTCCTTCTACCTTAGCTTACCTATGTAGCTGAGATTACAAGTGTATGCTACCACGCCTAGATAATCTATTCTATTTTTTTATAAAGATGAGGTCTTACTACATTGCTCAGGGTGATCTCGATTTTTTGATTTTAAGCTGTCCTCCTTCCTGGGCCTCCTAAAGTGCTAGGATTATAGGTTCGAGCTACACCCATCTAAAGCATCTACTTTAGCAGCAATTTAGGAGTCATTAGTTTTAGTCACTGTACTTAGGTAATATGCATTTCTTTAATAATACTCTTTAGTTTATCTAGAGTCCTCTTTTAGTTCAAATGCAAGAAAGTTTGCTATGTTTTCATTGGTGAATATAAGAACATTTTTAAACAATGACTACTGTTTATAATGGTAAAAATTAAGTTGTGGAACTTGCTTTTTCATTTTGTCAGTGACTCTTGTTATTTATGATCATATAATAATAACAGACCTTTCAATCCTTTTGAGATTGCTTTTCCAAACTGGAACTATTTATTCTGAACTGTTCACCCCATCACCTCCCATTGCATTTTTAACAAACTCGAACCATATTTTCTCTATTATAAGGGAGCATAAATGTTTGCCTCTTGCTTCCAATTCCTTTTTGTCTTTTTTTTTTGGTGGGAGCGGGGGAAACAGGGACTGTCCCTGTTGCCTGGGCTAGAGTGTAGTGGCATCATGATAGCTAGGTTACTATCACTCCTAGGTTCAAGTGATCTTTCTGCCTTAGCCTTCTGAGTAGCCAGGACTACAAGTGCTGCATGCCACTACCCTCATCTAATTTTTAAATTTTTGTATAGACAAAGTTTTTCTATGTTGCTCAGACTTATCTGGAACTTCTAGTCTCAAGCAATCCTCCCAGGTAAGTCCCCCAAAGGTGCTAGGATTATAGGCATGAGTCACTGTGCCTTTTAGGCCTCCTCTGAATCTTTTAATACACTATTGAAAATACTTCTGTACATGTACAGAAAGGATTAGGTATATGTTAGTGGATTTATGCTAAGACAATTAGGGTAAATGTTTACGAGTTACCACAGCATTGTGAGTACTGAGGTGAATAAGTGATGAGAACATCACCAAAGTGTCCAGTCCTACAAATGTGTCTTTTTGCTGACAGTAATTTTTCTGACTGTTGTATTGCAGCTGTTGAAAATGGACAGATTGATGTGTTAAGGCTGCTGCTTCGACATGGAGCGAATGTTAATGGATCCCATTCTATGTGTGGATGGAACTCCTTGCACCAGGCTTCTTTTCAGGTAACTTCTAATTTTATTATTCATTTCCATGTAAATTATATGTTTTACCTTTTTAAAATGACAGTTCTGTACTGGTTTTGCTTCCTACTTCCCTGTGATTTATGATGGTTAGTGCAATACAGAAAAGGCAGTCTAAATGCTAATGATCATTCTGAATAAGCCAACTGCTGTCGTAGCTATAGCAGTTTGGGGCTATAGGGGTTATTTAAATTTTTCAAATGTTGATAACATAGTTAAGAAACCACCAGAATATTAGGGATATAAGTGATAAAGAGCAGTGGCTTATTTTATTCATAAAAGTGTGTTTGGAAATTGTGGTAGCTCCTTAGTACGTGGGTTAACAAGCTAATTTTGCAGGATTTTATAAGGATTATAATTCCTAGAAATCAGTGTTTCATGTTTACATTTAATGGACTACCTAGAGGTATAGTATAATCTAATTGGCCACTTCTTTCCCAATCAGTATTGCAATACACTGTTTTGTTTTTTCCATCTTCACAGTGTCCTTTAGTGAGAGGATAAAAAAGAAAAAAACAAAACACAGTCAGAAAAAAGCTACCTTAGATTTTCTTTGTTTTTTCTTTATTTAAAATATGAATCTGTGCTTTAGGAAAATGCTGAGATCATAAAATTGCTTCTTAAAAAAGGAGCAAACAAGGAATGCCAGGATGACTTTGGAATCACACCTTTATTTGTGGCTGCTCAGTATGGCAAACTAGAAAGCTTGAGCATACTTATTTCATCGGGTAAGATTAATCCATTAGCCTTTGCACTGTTAAGATCATGAGCATTAAACTTTGTATCTTCCTAGGAATTATTCAGTTCTTGACACAAATATAAATCAGGTTTTGAAATTTATGGTTTTTATATAAGTGGTAAATAAGAGTAAATGCAAGTTGATATAGAAACCTAGTTATTAAGTGTCTTTTACTAACAAAGCAATGCACAGCTGCTAGTTTATATGAGTGGGAGCATAATGATCTATCGCTAAAGCAGGTTTATTGGCAAGTTGAATGATGAGGCTGTCCTTTCTCGTAGGGACCCAAGCAGTTCCAGCTCTAGGATGTAAGACTAGTTTAGGCTTAATCAATTTATTATATGGTTATTTTGTATATTAAAACTTTGTTTTCTTTTTTGTTAATTGTATAATTATTTAAATGGGTTTATTTCAAAGCATTTTTATGCTTTATTATGTTAATAGCAACATGAACCCATTAGAGATTTTTCTGCGACAACCATTTCACATTCAGCATTCGTAGAGAAGAGGCGGTTGAGGTAGCATTCTTACTTTTGTGTGATATTTTTGTGACCAGAAATGTTCATTGTGCAGAGGTTTTTAAAATCCTCCAAACCTGATGAAGCATGGCTAGTCAAGAGAAGGAAACTACTACCAGATTTGCTGCCAGGCAATTATTTTTTAACACCTATGTTTTTTATAAACTGCCTGCATATAGACAATATGAAGTTTATTTAGACAGCAGGGCACATATTTTCTTATTTCTGCTTTCTCCTTATAAACCTTCAAACATACACGTTGAAGAAGGAAGTAAAAGAAACAATTACATGCCAATTTAAAGTGTCTATTATAAATGATGAGTCTGTAAATCTTGAGTTAGGAGGAATCTCTTAGATCATTTATTTGAACATGTATATGTAGTTTTTAAGATTAAGAATTCCAGGCCCCTTGTATCTAACTGCTTTGTCAAAGATCAAGAAACCATTTCCTAACAGAATCAAGGCTTGGACCTAGGTCTTCTGACTTCTGATCTTCTTTCTTGTACTATGTCATGCCTTCCTTGGGACTGTCCTAATTCATTTTCTGACTTCCAGTCCTGTGAGTTCCAATTATTAATGTTTAAATTGATATTTGGAACAAAATAGGTTAAGCAGTACCTTAACTGCTGAATTTGTTTCCTGTTACCTAGAGCTCTAAACACCTCTTTTATTTTGCTTTGTTCCTTTTTTCTTTCCTTCTCTCCTCTCAGAATTGTTATGAACAGCAAGTTGAAAAGGTATGGTTACATTGTAACTATATATATTTCCAGCTTTGTTAAATGATTCTCCTTTCAGTGAATTGCCTGTCATTTTTCCATCTTTCTCACCTTTAGTCTTACAGGGACTGGTTCCTTATTCTTTCTGATCCTTCAAAATTGTCACTCAAAATGAAGCATTGATTAAAGAAGGTTAAGAAAGTTTTTTTCTTAGTATTTTCTCAGTTATGGTGTTTACTTCTTTCTAAAGCTGATAGCGGGTGAAGCATCTACCCCATGTAAGTCAAGATTCCAGTTGTCTAGCATTTGGAATTTTTGAAGGTTCCATGGACTCTTTAACTTGCCATTTGTATTTTCTACAGTTTTTATCCATCTCAGGGATTTAGTTTATTCAGGGTGCATTTATGGAATATTCTCTTAAATAAAAGATAGTCTTTTCTCCTTTGATGATGATTGTCTACTGAGATATGTTCCAGAAATTTAAAAATTCTCATAGTCATATAGTAATGCCATACTAAGCACATTCAATACATAATTTACCAATAAGTAAAGTTTGAGGATGTCTACTATTTTTAAAACCTTCACAAAAATTGAGTTCAGCATTTTAATATCTTTTATACACTGGTATCTAAATAACTTGATTAGATTTATGTTCTCTAAAATCTCAGACTTTTTATTGTAGGCTTTATTCATTATGTAATGGTCATGAAGGAAGAGATGTAATAGAGTATAGTTGATACTAGTTTTAAGGCTTAGCTCCCATGTATGTCTTATTGTTGGTAATATTTCTCAAAAATCTTAGCCTGAATCAATTATTAGCATCTGTAAAGTCTCATAATTCAGATTTTCCTTTTTACTAATTATTAGAAATGTTACCATGTTGGGTTTACAGTTTTTATGTCTACTTAATTAGACCCACACAGTGCTTGTTAGAGGAAGGATTGTAATCAAATGAATCCTTCATCGAGTAAGATTTTTGTTTTAACTTAAAAATGAATTGTAAAATATGAATCATTTGTTTTACTGCTGACATAAAAGCAAAAACAATTTAAATGATTCCCAAGAAGTAAGCAAAGATGTGTGTTTATAAAACAATATCCAGTGAGGGGGAAAAGCTATCATACTATGAAACCCTTTTACGGCAATTGTTTTGAAATTTATGTTGATTATCACTTTTTTTTTTTTTTTTTACATAAAGGAAGATTATCTGTTACCTGTTTTATTTTGTATTAGGTGCAAATGTCAATTGTCAAGCCTTGGACAAAGCTACTCCCTTGTTTATTGCTGCTCAAGAGGGTCACACAAAATGTGTAGAGCTTTTGCTGTCCAGTGGGGCAGATCCTGACCTTTACTGTAATGAAGACAATTGGCAGTTACCTATTCATGCAGCTGCACAAATGGGCCATACAAAGTAAGTGTTTAAAACAGAAAATAAAAATGGTCTCATAATTAAAAGCTAAAAAAAAATAAATCTGGGCCAGACCCTTTATGTCCAGGCAAAGTCCATGGTATTCCATTCCCTACCAGTCTGCCAGGTGGCTAGGTACACCCTAACCTGTCCTATGCCATTCTCAGCTCCCTTAGTTCTGCACGTTCCTAGCATGAAGCATAGGTGCTAGAGACCAGGTGGCCTCAGGGGTTTTCCCAGCCAGGTCTTATGTCTTCTGGTTGATTTCTCCAGTCGTGTCCACATCCTCCCCTCCTTCCTAGTTTCATCTCACGCATCTTTAGCTCTCAGCCTGATGGCCTTACTTAACTATTCCTCCCTGACTCCAGAAAACTTTGAGTTTGTGGTGCCTGTTGGGGTTAAGTCTTTCTTTTCTGTGTGCTAGGTAGTCCTTCCCATCTTAAGCCTTTTGATTGGACTTCTCTTTATAATCTCAAATCCAGCCCGGTACTTTCCCCTGCTTCTGTGTTCTTCTTTCTTTGCCCAGAGTTCCCATAAGATTATTGGTATTTTTTGGAGGTAGAATAAATTGGGGGTTCCGGGAACCTTAGATGCTGATAACTTGGTTATACCTGTGAGAATATGACTGCCTATCATAAATTGATACAAAACAATTTTAAAAATATATGCTTAAAATCTTTAGAGTTATAATTATACAGTAATACTTTTTACTATTGTTAGTATTAATTTAAAAGTAATAATAAAATGGTCATTACTTTATTTAATATATTTGTATGTATAGTAGAAAAACAAATTCTGTGATTTGGCCATTATGCCACTTGGTGGCATGATATCAATATTTTACTGTTTCTTTAAAGATACTTGTAAGCATGTTTATGCCTTGTGGGAGAGAGAGTATAATTTTTTCCAACTCATTTAAAATAATTAAACACCTTTATTAAATTTAAGAGACATTAAACAGACTCTTTATTCAATAACAAAATAGGTTTTAAAATTTAAATTTTAAAAATTTAATACTTTTCCCAATTCTTTGTTTTTTTTAGAGACAGAGTCTCACTTTGGTAGAGTGCCATGGATCCATAGCTCACAGCAACCTCCCACTCCTGGGCCTAGGCGATTCTCTTTTCTCTTGCCTCAGCCTCCTGAGTACAGGCGTCCGCCACAGCGACCGGCTCCCAATTCTTGATCATTTATTTAAAGATAAATATTAGATACAGTTATATTCTGAGCTTTAAATTGATACCAAAACCCTGTTGGGAATTTATCTTCAGTTGTTCTCAATTTTGAGAATTCTGTTTGTCATTGATGTTTTCCTTTATAGTCTATTCAAAGGCAACCTCTTCTGTGAATATAAATTCTCCTTAAATGTATCTAAGGCATACTTTACATAAGGAAAAGTAGCAAAGAGAAATATAATGTTATAAAGATACTTTGGAGTAGCTATGCCTGTTTTTTTCCCAGAAAGAGGGGACTATCAAGTTTTATCCCTTCAGTGTTATTTTCACTTTTGGAAAAGTGGAATAGTCCTTTCACTCTCTAGCTGACTGCTAGCAGTAAGCTTACAAAGAATCTAAGAATTTTCGTTTTAATGATTTTCCTCAGACCTTTCTCTGCCTAGCAACTGGCTGCTTTTTCTTATTTTAATTTCAGATTAATATGAGGGTATAGATCAGGCGTCCTCAAACTACGGCCTGTAGGCCACATGTGGACATTTATCCAGCCCGCCGGGTGTTTTTGCTCTGCTGCCTATCCTTAGCAGCCAACTTGTCCCAGGGCCCGCAGTCCAGGCCTCTAATGGTCTGAGGGACAATGAACTGGCCCCCTGTTTAAAAAGTTTGAGGACCCCTGGTATAGATGATTAGGTTACATTGTTTGCATTTGTTAGGTAAAGTCCAAGTTGTAGTTGTGCCCCTCATCCAGGAGATATGCCATGTACCCTTACATGGTGCCTGTTAGGTGAGAGTTTACCAATCTCCCTCCTTTGTTACCCTTTTCCCCACTTAACTTCGTGTTTTTCTTTTACATGTATGTCTGTCTGTCTCCTGGTTTCATATTAGTATTGAGTACATTGGATACTTTCTTTTCCATTCTTATGATACTTTACTAAAGAGAATGTTCTCCAACTCCATCCAGGTCAATACGTCTCCACCTTTTGTATGGCTGAATAGTGTTCTATGGTGTGTGTGTGTTGTATGTACCACAGTTTATTAATTCATTCATGAGTTGATAGGTTCTTGGGTTGATTCCACATTTTGGCAATTGTGAATTGAGCTGAGATAAACATTTAAGTGCATATATCCTTAAGGTAAAATCTACCTTCTAGGTAGATACCTAGTAATGGGATTGTGGGATCAAATGGAAGATCTACTTTTAGATCTCTGTATTCTCCATACTTCTTTCCAAAGTATTAGCGTAAAAGTGTTCCCTTCTTTCCACACCCTTACCAGCATCTGCAGGTTTGTGACTTTATGATATGGGCTATTCTCACTGGGGTTAGATGATATCTCAGAGTGATTTTCATTTGCCTTACTGTGATAAATAAGGATGATGAGCATTTTTTCATTTTTTTTTTTTTTTTGTCCATTTATCTGTCTTCTTTGGAGAAGGTTCTGTTCATATCTCTTGCCCAGTGATAAATGGGATTGTTTGATCTTTTTTTGTTGATCAATTTGCATTCTCTATAGATTCTGGCAACTAGTTTCTTTATTAAGTTTACCTCAGTGTTTAATGAGCCCATATTCTTTTAAGATAATAGAATATTTTAGCAGAAATTCTAATTTCTTTTTTCTTTTTTTTTTTTTGAGACAGAGTTTCACTGTTTCACTCTCAGTAGGGCCATCACAGCTCACAGCAACCTCAAACTCTTGGGCTTAAGTGATTCTCTTGCCTCAGCCTCCCAAGTAGCTGGGACTACAGGTGCCTGCCAAACGCCCGGCAATTTTTGTTGTTATTGTAGTTATCATTGTTATTTTAGCTGGCCCAGCTGGGTTCGAACTATCAGCCTCGGTGTATGTGGCCGGCACCCTAACCACTGAGCTGTGGGCACTGCCCAGAAATTCTAATTTCTTTCTGATGTAAATTCTATTCTTCATTTCATATCTGTTGTTATCTTTAAACATTTTTACTAATTGGAAAAATAAAACTAGTTAGTACTTTAGGAAGGAAATAGTTTTTTTTTGATATGAGTTTATATTTAGCATAATGAAGTTTTAAATAATTTATTAGATCCTAAACTAACATAAAATTTGAATTGGAGAGGGTAAGCTCATAGTGGTGATAAAGTAAATAATTAGTGAAAAAATAAAAATGAAAAACACATTACCTATTTACTTGTGGGAACATTATTTAATTTTGTTTCAGATGTACTAAAGGACCTTTTTTTGTTGTTGTTTTTTTTTTTTTTTTTTT